CATCAAGATAGGCAAATGAGGAATGAACGACTGAAGCCCAGATATGTTAACAATACTCCATTTTTGGTCTGATAGAGTATAGCAAGGTGAGTAGGATACTTACTGGAATGGTACAATGAACCAACGTTATTTCTCAGCATCTTTAGCAATAGATTGGATATATGAGTTCCACTTGAAGTCTGGTAAGATCTTGAATCCCAAGAAACATTCAAGGCAAGGAGCCTCTGTGAGGGAGGACCCAGGTATCATTCTAGCATCTTTAGCAACAGATCGTATATATGAGTTCCACTTGAGATCTGGCAAGAGCTTGAGTCCCAATAGATATTCAAAGTTTTTGAGTAAACATCTGTTATTTTTAACAGTGAAATTAATGTCAACATTAACAAGAAATCCTACTAAAGAAAATATTATTCCCAACAAGAATTGATCCTGTATCACCTTTTTCCATTAATGTGTTCTACCAGTTAGTCCACAGGAAACCATGATAAAGCAAAATCCAATTAGTTATTTAAGAAACCCACATCTCTTATTGGGATCCCTCAAAGTTTATATCTGCTTAGATTTTTACCCAAAACATAAACAAAGTAAATTTTAAGCAATGGATTTATATATATATATATATACATATATATATATATATATATATATATATATATATATATATATATATATATATATATATATTTTTTTTCATTTCATTTTTGGAAGTGCTATCTGATGATCTGGCATCCTTTAAAAGGGCTCTGGTGAAATAAATTATTATAATGGTACCTTAAAGTGGTCTGTTTTTCTTTTAAATATTAGCTCTGGATTTACATTGAGCTCTCAGGATTTCATCCTCCTTGGGATTACCCATACGGATTACCAAGTTCTTCATAACTTAACTATATATATATATATATATATATACATCAAAAATACTTTTACAAACTCTTGGGTTGGGTTTCTTCACACCAAAACAAGGACAAAAGTCCACATAAACATATGTCTCCAAATCTTTCGTTTTATTTTTTAAGTTAAGTTTAAAGTTTATGGTAGATGCAGTTAAATGTACAATCCAACATACAATCCAAAAATACTTTTACAAACTTTGGGTGTGGGTTCTTCACACCAAAACAAAGTAAGATGTGCGTATAAACATATGTCTAAAAGGCCATTGTTGTACCTCAACACAACAACTCATAACAAATGTTCAAAATGTCCTCCAGTTGCTTCTATACACACATGCACCCATCAGATCATTGACTGGTGGACCCTTTCAAATACTTCCACATGGTGTTGAATGGTTTTGCAGGCCCCCATTACACATTGATGAAGTGCCTTTGCATCATTAATGTCTGCTGCATAAAGCAATTGTTTTAGGTGACCCCCACAGATAAAATCCCAAAGGATTGAGGTCAGGAACATGCATGCCATGGAACTACTCCTCCTCTACCTAGCCATCTTTCATGGTAAATATTAGCCAGTTTTGTCATTTCTAGCTTTTAAAAGTATTTTTGATACACCATCTATATCTTGGATGGCAACTGGTCTAGGAGAAGGACAACTCTGAATTCAAAACCTGCGGAGGGTCATTTGGGAACCTTGTGGCATTCGGTGCACCAGATCTCTGTATTCGTCCCTTCAAAAAGTGTGGATGGTCCTGCACGAGGCCTTCACCACTATAATCAAATCTCATGTGCCGGTGTCGGGCTGTCGGTTTCCTGGAAACTGATCTGCTTGACCCTCATACGTTGAATCTCGAGGGGAGAGTCGATTTATATATATATATATATATATATATATATATATATATATATATATATTCTATTTTGTCAATTTTTTTACAGATAAAAGGTATATTTAGGCATTAAGAATATGTCTGGTTAATTTTTTATTGTATTTTTTCAATTAAGATTTACATTGAGATCCAAAAAATATATGAAAATAAGCAATGAGACTAAAGATGCTAGAAAAAGATATATAAAACTGTAAATAAGATAAATAATAGTAACTCCTCATCCCAGAAATTCAAACAGAAATGATATATCTATTATCAAATGGTAGATATATATATTTCACTAGAGAAAGAAAATCATCGTTTTATTCTTCAATAACCATTCTATTCAAAACAGATCTTTAGAACTAATGTGTGGTTTTATTTAAAACCAAATCCAAGATATGTTCCATAATGATCATTTATACAAAAAAAAAAAAAAAAGCTGGTGCACAGAATCAGATTTTATTTTGTCTAAAAGCAGTGACAAAAAAGTTTAATGCTCTAGAGAGTCAAACAATATTCAATGAAATCTTTATTGCCAACAGTAAAAGATTTTGGTTACGAAGACAACTTACTCTACTGAATGGAGCTAAAGTAATAATTGTAATAATATTGTTTTATTTACTTATATATATTATAATTATTATGCAATGTTAAATAAAGTTGGAAGGCAATGTATCGAGATGTTATAAGTAATTATTTTTGTGCTGAAATTATTTTGAGCTACATGTTGACGCATTCCTGTTAAAAGATGTGCAAAAGAACAATAGATCGCAGGAATGTTAATAAACAGATATCTATTTTGAAAAATTTCTAAGCATGATAGAGCATTATTAATTGGTAAAAATGTTATATCATGGACTTTTGTTCTCTTTGATGTATAACGGTCAAGTAACTCAGTTCTTAGGACCAAACAGCCAGACTACCTGCACATTGATCTGGTGAAGGCTTGTGCAGAACCAACCACGTTTTGGAATAACCAAATACAGAGAACTGGTACATATAGCATGCCATAAAGTCTATAGAGTTGTTTTTCTCCTAGCCTGGTTGTCTTATTATTTATCCCATAGATAGGGGTGTATGAAAAGATGGATCCATACCTTTCCCTTTTTGTATAAGTGAATGTAACAAACTTGACTGAATTTGAACTCTTCTCTCCAGTCTCCTATTCTAAGCCTCTATCTATTACACATCCCATATATATATATATATATATATATATATATATATATATATATATATATATATACAAGGTAACAAAAAAAAGTTCTGCCCGTTTTTTGATTAGTCATTGAATGAAGTTGAAATATATACAAAATGCGTGTAGCAATTGTTTTCAAATTCGGACACCCAGAAGTAGGAACATCAGTCATTACAAAAAACATGCGCACCATGCCCAGCCATCAGTTATAAGCCGGACAGCTGTGAGAAGGATGGAAGTGTCTTGAGATCTCGTTCAGGGCTGTTTACTTTACGACTACAAAGTGGACTTATCAGCAGCTGCATCAAGTCACCACATATGTCAAGCATTTGGGGATAGTGCTGTGGATGAACGTACTGTAAGATGTTGGTTTTGAAAATTCAAGTCAGGAGATTTGTCTCTCCATGATGAGCCTCGCAGTGGACAACCACAGGTCTTGAATGGTGGAGTCCTGAAGGCGGCCATTGAAGAGGACAGTAGTCTAACGTGTAGTGAACTTGCAAGACACTTCAATGTTTCCGATGAAACAGTTAGACTTCACCTGCACTGCCTAGGTAAGACGTACAAACTGAGCAAGTGGGTTCTGCAAACGCTGTTAGAGGTCCACAAGGAACAACGAGTGGCAGCCTGCGTATCGTTGCTTTCTCGCCACCGTACCGCATCCTTATTCAATCGAGTGCTCTGTCCCTCACACCACAAGACTGCCTATGCACCCACACCAAATTATGCTTTGTGTTTGGTGGACAAGTCATCAAGTGGTTCATTATGAACTGCTACCAACAGGCCAAACGGTCACTGGAGACATATACTTGCAGCATTTGAAAGAAGGAACCAGCACTGGTGAATCGCAAAGGTGTGCTTTTCCTCCATGACAATGCCAGGCTGCATGTCGCGCGAGTGGTCAGGGATACCATACAGCAACTTGGGTGGGAGACTTTGTGCCATCTACCTTATTCACCTGACCTTGCGCCATCCAATTACCACCTCTTCCACTCCCTGGATAATCATCTTTGTGGGAAATCCTTCACTAATGAAGCAGACTTGTGCAAAGCCCTCATGGACTTCTTTGCGTCAAACAACCTGAGTTCTACTGCAAGGGCATTGAACAGCTGGAGACACATTGGCAGAAGGTGCTGGATGCCGATGGTGATTACTTCAAAGACTAAATATAAGTTACACATAGTGTGAAGCATTTTCTTTTTTTCCTTTAAAAACGGACAGCACTTTTTTGGTTACCATGTATTTTTGTGATTTGTTTATAAGTCTTGAAGATTGGAAACTGCTTTTTTTTAGAGCTCTCATGAAATAAAAATTATTACTTATGGAATTTTAAGTGTTTGATATTCTTTAATTAATAATAATTTTGCTCTGTCTCTTGACATAGATTTCTCCCTGGATCTATATCCTCCTGGAAATTCCATATGGATTACCATACTGTATCATTACCATATATATATATATATTTTTTTTTTTTTTTTTTATATAATAAGACACTATTTTAAAGATCTCAGGAGTGTTATAATAAGCAAACACAGTTTTGAAAAATTGCTGAAACAATACTGTTAATGGATAAATAAAATAGAAATTAAAAGTATTTAAAATGGTGAAATCTTATATCTGTAAAAAATATATACAAATAATATATATAATTAGAAAATAATTAAAATTTTACTGTAATTGCACTAAACTTTGGGGCTTGAGTGAGAGTAGGTTCATTAGTAGATCTGGCAGTGAATGTCTCAATATTTGCTATTACGTTGAGGCAAAAGTCCTCAGCACCATCTTTTGTGTTGTGTTGATATTTACTCAATTCATTTTTGCTTATGCAATCATTTCACTGGAGTAATTTGTTTACAAGCCTTATGAAAATTACTGAAGCTAGTAAAATCAGTTCTGCATGAACTTTTATGGAAAGCAGTATTAGTCAGCATTTAAACATTTGTCTTTCTTGTCCAAGGCAGGAAAGAAAATCATTGACAATAAAAAAAATTTTTTCATGACAATCTAAAAATGAGAAAATGATGGCTTGATCCATGATAGTCATATCATACTTAAGTATCAGTTCTTGTATGATCACCAAAGTTAAGCAACATTGAGCCTGGTCAGTACCTAGATGGATGACTGCTTGGGAATACCAGGTGCTGTAAGCTTGAATGTGCAACTGGTATAATGGATGATGATTCAAAATTAGAAATCGAAGAGTCAAGTTGCAATTCCAGTTGGGTTCATTATACAGACAGGAGGTTTTCTTTGATAACAAAGAAAAGAATACTGGACACTTACATGACATCTGTCCTTCTTTACGGCAGCTAATGTTGGACGATTTCCTTAAAGATGAAGAAGAGACTCAAGGTCACAGATGTGTTTCTACAAAAGGATGCTAAGGATACCATGGATCAAGCGTATGAGCAACAATGAGGTCTTAGAGAGGTTGCAAACAAGGAGGAGGCTTATACTTAATATCAAGAAGAGGCAGCTAAAGTTTCTGGGACACATGATGAGGAAGGAGGGCCTGGAAAACCTGATACTCACGGGGTGAATAGAGGGAAAGAGAGACAAGGGAAAACAACGCTTGACATACCTGGCAGGCTTAAGCAAATGGATGACAGAATGTGGTCTTGGGAGGAAGCAGAGGGAAGGAACTTGTCGAGAGCTGCAAGGCATAGAGGGAGCGTATGAACAACGATGAGATCTTAGAGAGGTTGCAAACAAGGAGGAGGCTTATACTTAATATCAGGAAGAGGCAGCTGAAGTTTCTGGGACACATAATGAGGAAGGAAGATCTGGAGAATCTGATACTCACGGGTTGAACAGAGGGAAAGAGAGACAAGGGAAAACAATGCGTGACATACCTGGCAAACTTAAGCAAGTGGATGACAGAATATGGTCTGGGGAGGAAGCAGAGGGATAGGAACTTGTGGAGGGCCATGATCGCTTACCTCCTGAAAGGACATAGCACATAAAATGCAAAGAAAGATATTCATTTATATTGTAAATCCTTGGGAAAGGTATGAATCTACTTCTTCTTCCCTCCGCTATGGGGTAATTAGTATAACTTATATCAGTAAAATCATTATTATCTCAGAAAAATTCTTATAATCTAAAAATATTTTCTGGCCTTAAATAACTTGCAAAAGGTTGATTAGCTATAAAAAGCAATCAATCCAATAAAGCTTTCTCTACATTAACATGAATAGAATTTGTAAAAGGGAATTCTTTTATTATGAATTGTTGAAACCTAGATAAACTGTTTCTGTGCAATACTATAGTAAGCAAGTGGCTTGTTTGAATTATACATTGGAAGAGAAAAAATAATCAACCATTTATTTTTCTGCATGCAATCCCTGTCTTTATGTTGTAAATGGAATGCAGCAAACTATTATGGAAATGGTATGGGAAGTTCTTCCACAAACAAAATATTCTCCAGACCTATAATCGTCAAGATACCATATGTTTCATTTCATGTAACAGCTTGCCTGGTAAGCAGTTCCTACAACTAAAGATAGCAAAAAAATTCTTTGAAGAATTCATGAAATCTTTGCTAGAATTGTTTTTATCACAGAATACATATTTTACTTGAAAGTGAGATAATGTAGTTGAAAGCAAGGGAAAATACTTTAAGAACTGAATAATGATGTTATGAATTTAAACCATAGGTCAAAATGTTGGAACCACTCTCTGGACTTAATAATTAGTAAGTTCTTTAATTTAATTAACTTCTAATAAGCTAGAAGGCTGAAATTTAACACGTTAGTGCGTGCGATCCTTTTTCTTTTTTTTTTAGAATCTGTCACCTCTGATTACCATTGGGCAGCAAGATAGATTAAGCAAAAAAGAGCTAAAATTTTAAGGAAACTTCATGCAGTAATAGGTTAATTATTTACATGACTATTATCCTCTTCTTTGTTGTTATTATCACAATGTTTTGGCCATTGTGCCTTCTGGCCGTCATTGAAACATTGTGATAACAACAACAAAGATGAGGACAATAGTTCACATGTAAATAATGATAATTCTTCATCCCAGAAATTCAGACAAAGGTAATGGGTTAATTTTATTATTTTTTATTGTATATTTGATAAATCCCTTCAAAAAGAGAAAGTCCTTCTGTCCCAAAATGAGTTAGTAAATGGGCTTTTGAAATGTTTAATTTTTAGGCATTTCTTTGAAATCCAAAGTTTTTTTTTTCCAAAAACTTTTGGAAACATTCACAGCAACCCAATGCTGGAAGGCAGTGTAATGTCATGAAAAGTAAAACAAAAATACTTTGTGACTGAATAATGATGCCATGAATCTTGTTTAAAAAAAATATTGTGAAGAAATGCATCAAACAAACACTTTACAAGCTGAAATGTGAAAACAAAAGCTATACAAAGGAGGAGTAGAGTCAAAATTTCTCATAAATTCTTCTCCTGTTTCATAACTATTAAACCTGACTGATAAAGATGTTTTTACTCAAGTATGCAAAAAGCGTAATCATGTAATGTTACTTGTTATGAAATCCTTGCTTTATTTTGTTATAAATGAATCTATACATTACAGAATTTAAAAATAAGGAATAAATAAATAAAACCAAAACTGGAAACGTCCCCAATAAAATGCTTTCTGTTTCTTGTTTACCACTCTTTATTTATTTTAACTTTTTTCCATTTCTAAGAAATTTTGTGTTTGTTTATTCCTGAGCAGCTGCCCAACTTTCCAAATCAATTCAAGTCTGGCAACAGATTCTCATATTTCTCTATTATTTCTATTAGTACCATTGCCATCACCAGTGTGTATTTTCAGTTTATCTCCCTCTGTGCCATAACTACCATAACCAAACACATTCTACAATGCAACATTCAAATACTAAAGTTCTTTTTGCACAAAACAACATCTTAGTAAATTCAAACAACTATTATGTGGAAATGACACCAAAAAATAACTTACCCCCAATAGAGTCAACCACCCAAATTGTGTACAACTGTATCATTTTTTATTTTGGCAAGAGAAAAAAGTTAAATTCTACTCTACCTGGGGTATAGGTCACAAGTGACTATATGAAAAAAGAATATAGTTATTAGAAAGTACTAGTTCCCAAAACAATAGTTACAACTAAAATAAAACCCAGAAGAATATTCCTAAAGGTTATAGAAGGAGAAGGAGGAATATGAAGAAAATAAAAAAAAATCAGACAAATATATTTAAATCACAGTTTGGGAATAGAAAGTATAATCAAGATTTTGGGATAGGAAAATATTTGGGATATAAAAACACATTGGTAGTTTTATTTATTTATTTATTTATTTTTTGGTAGAAGAAAGCTTAAACTATATTCTATCTGGGAGAGAAATCACAACTATATAAAAAAAAAATATTATTTCAAAGCAATAGTTCTCAAGGAAGTAAGACAATAAAGCCACTAAGATGCTAGAGGAAACTTTTGGAAACATTCACAGCAACCCAATGCTGGAAGGTAGTGTAATGTCATGAAAAGTAAAACAAAAATACTGGAGGGAAAGAGATGTGAAAGAATATGAGAATATGAATGTGAAAGAATATGAGAAAATGAATGTGAAAGAATATGAGAAAATGAAAAACACTATTAAGGAAAGAGAACAATAGGAGTCAACTATAGTTGTGATCAACAAGTCAATGCAAGCAGTCGTTTCCTTAATTGCATAGTATGTTCTTCATTAGGGCTACATACAGTTTTGAATTCAGGGTTTTTTTCTCCAAGATCAATTGCCACCCAAAGCCTATAGAACCCAGTCTACTATTTATCCATGGTGAAGAATTGGATTCCCAAGGGTATGTAAGTTGACTGGACGTGGAACATAAAAGTTTTGAGCAATGGATTTTTGAAGGGGTTTACAGAGAGGTTTAAAAGTATAAGAAAAACCTGCATATGATTGTTTTCAAAGAGCTAACAAGATATTTTTCCTCCTTTCAAGAAAACTCCAAGAAGAAAATATGGTGAATAAATGGAATTAACTTTATGAAAAACAGAAAATCATTTAAGTTTTCTTACAAATCTCTTCACAAATTATCAGCAAAATATTGTCTCCAAATTGGCTCCTTGCCTTGAACATCTATTGGGACACAAGCTCCCTCCAAACCTTAAGTGGCTCTCCTATGTAATCTATTGCTAAAAAAGGCTGGAAAATGGTTGGTTCATTTATACCACTTTATCAAGTATCTCTTGTTAGTGAATATCTCTGTAGATGATACAACAGGTGGATGACCAGAACCTAGCCATTCATCTCTCCTTTGACCCAACCCAGGTGGGCGTGGGGAATTGGCTCATAAACTGCACTTCTTACCTCTTATTCTTATCATCAACAACAGAATATTGTCTCCTGTTGGCTCCTTGCCTTGAATGTCTATTGGGACACAAGCTCCCTCCAAACCTCAAGTGGAACTCCTATACAATCTATTGCTAAAGAGGCTGGAAAAATCTTTAGAAGAGTCAGATCAGACCAAAAATGGAGTATTGCTGCCATATTGGGGCTGACCAGTCCTCACTAGCCTGTCTCGATAGAGTTCAAAAGCATCTACGTGGCCCCTGTGAGTGATGAATTATTATCTGACTCCCTTTGCTGTACTCTATCTTTACAAAAGTCAGACCAGGCCTTATGGGTGATGAATTATTTTCCACTCTGCAACCCCTTTCTCCACAGACAAAACATTGCAAACCTTTCACTGCTTTATCACTATTTCTATGACATGTGTTCTGACATGCTACATTCCTTAATTACACCAGCCCTGACCTTTGCAATTTGAACCTGCCATGGCACATACACAAAGAGTGAATCCTCCCCATTCCCTTCATATCCCATTAGCAAGTTCCATTTGGATAACTTCTTCTCAAGGACTGCTGCTTTGTGGAACAGACTCCTGGCATGATGTTTTACTAATCACTACTATCTTGATCTCTTCAAGTCTAGAGTTAACTATTATTTTTCCTGTATAATCCCCTGAACTTCACTTTTTGCTTTTTCTTATTCTCATACACAACCACCACAGAAAGAAATGGTAACTTACAGTGGGGAATAAAAATCAGCCTCATCAGTCATGTATCGAAAGATGCATGATCACCTAAGCGTGTATCATGCATGGCACATAACTGACTGACTGACTGACCACACAATAACCCTCTACCTTTAGTG